TGCATTTCAGCATCCCCACATCCCAGCATTGTGCAGCCCTACATCCTAGGAGTCCAGCAATCCCTACCACTCATCCCCACAGCCCATCATCCAGTGCCACATCCAAGTTGCACAGCAGCCCCAGAGCTTCACAGCTCTGCAGCTCAGCCTCCTGGCAGCCCCACAGCCAGCAGCTCAGCCCAAGCAGCTCAGCAACCCAGCCTAGGGCACACAGCAAATGCAGCTGGCACAGTGCTGCTGCTTTGAGTCTAGGCTTTTTTATGGTTTCTGCCCTCAGGGGCAATGACAACTGTGACTGTGGAGGTGGTTGTAGTTATACTGGGGCTTTTTTTTCCTGAGGCCCTGCTATGGACTGTATTGGCAGAGGTGCTATTTCATTCCTGGGAGCTGGAAAAACCTCTCTAGTGTTAGCTTGCCACAGCCCAAGGAGGCAGCTTTACAGGTGTGCAGGATGCAGCCAGCGTCACTGGTGCTCTCCCGGTCCCACTGCTCTGCAGGGCTGGAGGCAGGAATGCTACATGAGAAAAGGCAAACAGCAGCTGCCTCTGCAACTTGGCTCCAATGCTACAGATGGTACTTCACTGTGAGCTTTGCCTCCACCAGGAACAGTCCCTCCCTATGCACAGTAACAGATTTTTCTGCAGGATTTTAGCATTAGAAATGAATGCTGGAGAACCTGGTGCTTTTGTTACACTGGGACATTTATCCTGCCAACTGTGAATCAACAGGATTGCATTTCTGCAACTGGAAAATTCAATAAACATACGCAGAAACATTATTGTCCCCCAGTTTTTGTCTATTCCTCTCCACTTTGTTGTCCTGCTGAATCTCATGCTAGCAACTCCTTACAGGAGGGTGGCAGCATGTTCAATCTGATGGAGCACTCCTCACCTGGCTGACTTACAGCAGAGCCTTGCTATTATATCTGAAGCCATAGCACAGGTGTGCTGCTCCTCTGTGAACACATTCCAAAGGCACATGTAGCCTATCTTAGCTGGAATTTCATCCTATTTTTTATTCAAGCACAAAATATCTGGTTATTATTTTCAGCCGAGAGAAGGTGCTTGAAATGGAAAAGGTCCCTCAAGTCAGAAAATGGGATCAAAAATGAAGCTGTGGAAAACATTTGCAGGCAAACAATAAAAATACAGTTTGAGTAAATGGAAATATTTAATTTCAGAGCTTTCAAGATTTTTTTTTAATTAACACTTAAAAGTAAAATTATTTACATTGTAGAAGACATTTGAATAAAGAAAATATTTTTTTAAATGTCAATAATTTAAAAAAGTGATGCTTTGATATTCATAACTTTTTCCTTATTACTTTTATTTGACAAATGTACTGGGCATGTTTTCTTTTGTAACTCTCACAAGAAAAACAATAGCTTTGAGGGATCAGTATTTTTGAATTAGAAAACATTTTGCTGAAAACTCCTATCTGGAAAAAAGCTGGTAATAGTTAGTGTGAAAAGTCTAATAGGAACCTTTTAGTTCCAGATGTGTTGTTCTGCTTCCCCTGGTATGACAGAGGTACTTAAAATTAAAGTTCAAAGATGCCGCACCGGTGGAACTAACTACATATTTCCTGACATTTGTGCCTGTCAGCACAAGGGTGGTTAGACTGCTATTTATAAATCCGAACTTAATTCATTGTCATACCAAAGGGAGCAGTCAAAACCCCAGAGAGAAATCAGGGCCAGTGCACCAGAGGCTTTTTCCTAACTTATTTCTGGCTATGTTGTATTCGGAAGAAAGATACACATAGCAAACACAGTCCAATCCCAGCCCTCCTCTGCTGAGTCAGAGTCAGCTTCTTAGGTCTTACGGATCTCAAGTCATAAAGGCAGGATGGTCTTGTGGGTTAGGATATGGACTCTGAGTCAGAATAGTTTATTCATGAAAGAAAAATGCTCCTTTCATTTATTAGCACATTATTCTCTAACTGGCCTAAGCAAATTGCCAGTAGAAAGTTTCAGCTGTAGGCATTTTAAAGATGAATAGGGTAAAAAAAGGGAAGCCCAATTGACATTTGATCATTTCTGCAGCAACATTGCATTTATCCATAACTAGCTGTCCTGGTAGGAAAAGGACAAGCACCAGGGTAAATACCAGAAATATTCAGATTTGTGTTTCAGTCTAGCTGAAGTCCTGTTGATTAAGCTGGGAATGTTGATTAAAGACCTTAAGCTGTGACCCCCAGCAATTCAGTCAGGTTACTCCTGCTGCTCAGCAAGGCTTGAGTTAAATTAGAAAGCAGGATAGAGAGTCAGTGAGTTTATCAGCTCTGAGCAGTGTGTTTCTATGCAGATAACCTGCAAGTACCTCTCTGCTCAGCCCCGGAGTCTTATGGGGGATTCAATAGCTTGTCTGTCTGCTGGTGGGAGATACTAGAGTCCTTCAAGAAAAAAACCCTAAAAACTAATCCTGCTTTGCACCAATCCTCTGGAAATCAGTCATTCAGTCCATATAGTTAATGATCAGTTGGTGGGTTAATAGCCAAACTTGAAGTCAAGGGTTATTAAAGCTTAAAAAAAAAATTAACCACTCAGTGGCTGTCGTCAAAGAAAATACTCAGTTATTTTTTGATGGTTACTTCTCCCTCTAGGCTGCCATGGAGACTGACAAGGGATATTTTAACTTGTCAAGGCAATAGCACCATAGCAACAAAACCCTGAGAAGCCCATCAGTTTGGTGTACAGGTCCTGTTTTGCATATTGGGCCTTTGATCTTTAAGAGTATTTAGCACTGCCAATTTTTTATGAGTGTAGTGAAGAGGTGAAATAGGTGCCTTGTTTAAGTAGGACAATTTATTATTGTCACTCAGCTTTTGAAGGACAAGCCATGCAGAAGAGCTCAAGTCAGGGGAGAGAGGCCTTGAACGCAAGAACATTTACGCTTCGGTTAACAAGGAAGCAAGCTGCATGGGGGTTTGCAGAATCCAGTTCTCATTGCCTCAGAAAAAATTGATGTTTTTATTTCTGCACTTTCAATTTGTGTTTTTTCAGTTTACTGACAAAAGAAATTTTAATTATTTGAAGTACAGAAGCTAAAGGCAAAGATAGGGCTTTTCCTTTCTTCTTCGTACTATGGCAACAAGATTGTTGGGCAAACTTAGACTGTATAACCTGTGGTGCCACTAGCTGCCACAGACAGTAGAAGGAATTCAGACCAATTTTGAGGGTATCAGCTGAGTCTGTCACTCCAGTAGGGAAGGAAAGAGGAATCACTGCAAATGAAGTGGAGACTTTTCCAATGAGACCAGAGATGGTGTGATATGGGTAAATGATATAACATAGCTAAGAACAACTGCTTCCAAACACAAAACTGTAAGAGGTAAGAGTCATTTCTTGTTTCTGTGATCTTTCTCTGATAGAAAGCAATCTATAATCCAGGACAGACAGCACTTAACAGCATCTAGCTGTATATCTGACAGGTCTTGACGATGTCTTTTCGCAGGCTTTTGAGCAGCAGCCGGCAGCATGAGATGGGCCGGGCTTTGCTCAGAACCCAACACCCATTTGTGCCTCACCCACAGAGATGAACCGTCCTTTGGGGCAGTGCCTGGCACTGGGCAGCCGGTCACACTCACACAGAGAAAGGACCCAAAACAGTTCCCATGAGGTTACCTCATCCTATGGTTTTCAGGCTGCACTTCAGGGACACACCAATGATTCATAGGACAAGAGGAGGTGGTCAGTGAAGTGAATGGAGAAAAAGTGAATGGAACAGGTGCATCTGCTTCCACACATATAAACAAATACTACAGTAAGAGAGCAAGAACACTGAAATGTATCCTAGCCTTTGTCTAGTTTCCTTTCTGTTGTCAGTGAAAGTCACCATGGACCCATAGCACTTGACAGTGTTTGGATTGTTTTCCAAAAGTAAGGTTAGAAGAGCACTGTCAGGAAACACCACTGCACCCCAGCTGCCTAGAAACAAAATCAGCTGTCCCTAACCATTCCTGACAGCCCTGAGTGTCTTACCGTTCTGGAGATGCTTCAGTCCCTGGAGGCAACTGCAATATGCAATTGTCCACAACATTAGAAAGTTTGTCTTGCCATCTGTATTGAGCTTTCCGTGCTGCAGTTTGAGCTTGTTATGTCTTTCTTTATTTACCTCTACGTGCTGTGGAGAACAGATTATTCCCTTTCTCTTTGATGTGGCAAAACCAAACAGCGTTCAGCTCCCTGTTGTTCATACAGCCCTCTCGTGGGGATGGCCTATCCTTCCCCGGCCTTGCTGCCTGCTAGCGAGCCAGAGATGAGCAATGTACCCCAGAGCAGCCCAGGAGCAGCACTCTCCTCAGCTTTCCTTTTCTGTTGCCTTGGTTTTATCTAGTGCTGTCTTCCCAACCTTAATCACTTGTTGGATGTGCCTCTAGTTCTGAGTTCTTTTCCAGTGTTGATTCCTACCCCTTAGCTGTGTTTCCTTAGGAGCAGCCAAAGCACATTCCTGTATCCTCTGCACCTGCTTTGCTCCTTTGCTGCCCTTCAGGAGGGCTTCCCTTCCTTCACAAAAGACAGCTCTCAAACCTGTGGGGACTGCACCACACACACACATACACACAAGCAACCAGCTCTACGTTAACCAAGACTCAACCCAAAACATGAGAACAACAACAACAAAAGAGCCCTGTGTATAGTCAGTACCTGGAGCTAAACAGAGATATCCTACCCCTCATATTTTTTTTGTTAATTGTTGCTCTGGACATTTTTGTTTTATCAGATGGAGAAGGACACTTGAGACCTAACTAATTTGTCTCTTGTCAATGGCTCTTTGTTTTCTTTTGGGTTTTTTTCCCCTTATTTTTTCCCTGGCCCCATAATCATTTCTTTGTTCCCTTCAGTAAGCTGGCCACTCAGAGCATTACATCCCTGTCTTAAACCTGGCTGTATTATGTTCATAACAGCAACAGCAGCATCTGCTGGGATAGCAGTGATGCACGGCCATCAAGGTTCCCTTTGCTAGGCACTGCACAAAAAAAAAAATCTCACTGTCTGAATCAACCCATCTCCACAGTGACCAGGACAAACGAGATGGAACCGCAGAGGAGAAAGCACCTTTTTATTTTGAAACCAATAAAACACTTTGGACTTTTCTCTCACAGGCACTTTATTGCCCTTGCTAATGGCAAGCTCTCTGTCTATGCGAGTGTAAGCTAGCAGCAAGGTACTAATAAATTAATAAAGTAGAGGCAGGGCACAGGCCCAGGCAGTTGCCCATGCAATTAAATGGTTGGCATTGCCCTTGCATGAGTTTGCTGCCAATGCCCAGGCATATTTCAGGAGCTAGTGTGGTTCTCTGCAGGTGGTTTGGGCACAGCTCTACCGCTCTGGGGGGACAGAAGCACATCCCTTTGGGGATGGCTGGGCATGCCAATGGGTCTTGGGGGTGGAAAACATTCCTTGGCCTCTCTTACTAATTTGTGTGGCCGTAGACTTGGTGTCTCAGCACTGCACAGCTTATAATGGATTTACTCATCGCAGCATCCCTGTGAAGCAGGGAAGTGCTGATAAGCCCCTGGGTCTGAGAGGAAAAACAAACTCATGGAAATGCTGAAAGGGCTACATGGCTCCAGAGAAGTCTTCAAGTCCCACAGCCCTCTTGTTACTCAACCTCCTTCCCCAGCTCCAAGTCTTGAAGCCCCTCAGGCGGGTGAGGATGAGCCAGCCACGAAGATGTGCCCCCAATCTGGTGGGGATGCTGAGCTGCCCAGGACCACACGGAGTGAGACAGGGACCACCTCCTTCGAGCTCTGCAGCTGAGAGGAAACCCAGCCTGCTGAGGCTGGGCAGCTTAAAGCATGAACTGGGCAAGCCTGGTCCAGACAACAGGATCAGGCTTGCACTTAACTTGACCCTTAGTGACTTGCAGAAGCTTTGGTAGGAACGTGGCTCCTCCACCCCATACGCTTTGACTTACTGGGATGTACAATGCAGGGTCTCTCAGAGGTCACGTGTCAAATCCATATGGATGGTTTGTGCAGAGGAAATTGGCGGGGTCGGGAAGAGTGGAAGGTACTCAGTGCTTTACAGATACATTGCCTGAAGTTCCCCTGCTGAGAAAAACAGAAAGCAGTTCAGCATCATGCATTTTCCATTTTCTATTTTTTCCATTCATTTTCCCCATACCTGTGTTCTGAGGGAGATGATCAGTCATTCAGCTACTGGGTCATCTGTCTCTGTTACTAGATCACGTCCATCACTATGGTGTCAGGGACTGCAAATACAGAGAATGTGTGTTCATTAATTATGGCATTATATGAAAATGCACTGTTTTATTGACAGTCATATTTTGAGCAATACCATTATTTCAATACCTGAACAGTCACAACTGCACCTTTTGACAGAGTGCCCTCAGATTTCCAGGGCTAGCTCCCAGGCACAAGGTTATAGTCCCTGCAGAGCCATGCACACAGGGGGCAAGGACTTGTGGCAGGAGGAGGGAAGTGTTGGGAGCCACAGCTCCCCACCGGCACGTGATGGGTGGCCCTGCCCCAAGACACCCAGATGCAGTGAGCCCACCCCCAGCCATAACCCAGTGAAGAGCTTTACTTTGCCCAGAGGCCAGCTGGAGGCTTCATAGGGTGGATGGATCCAGAGGCCATATGGATCCAGGCTGTAAAGCTTCAGCTGTATTTATCCGAGACTGCTTTTCTTCTCAGCTCACCTCTTACTGACACCTGCACACCTCCTTTGTGGTGGAAATATTTGTGCCTTTCCCTGCTCCAGGGTGCTGATAGCAGAGGTGCAGTGAGGGCTCATTACCTGCTCAGGGTGGTGCTGCAAAATTAGGAGGAGGAGGCGAAACCTACTCATGGCCTTACCTTAATTATTATTATTCTCCTTGCTGAGTCTTCTCCTTACTCAGTACTGCCTCTGATAGGAAAGGTGCTTTTCTTGCATATAATTGCTTAAAAGCAAAAGGAAAACTCAGCAAAATGAAAAGCACCACCACTACAGAAAAAAAAAAAAATCCACACAAGAAACCTGGGCCTCATTCACTCTTCTGTTAATTAGCCTTAAAGAAAACAATAAAATGAGAAAGCAAAGAAAAAGCCTAGGAAGGTAATTGGGCTGGGCTGCTGAAGAAGCAAGAACTGTGGGAAACAGGGAGATGGCTGCAGACAGCATCACCCTGCAGAAACCCCACATTTCTGAGGTCTGCCTCTCCCATGAGTCCTGTTTTGCGGCAAATCAGAGTAGACGGGGTAATTATGACAGCTGTGCTTTAGACTGGTTTAAGAAGTTGTATTTTCCTGACTGCCTCTGGAGCACAACAGCAGTGGCAGGCAGATTCCTGCCAGCACAGCTTGGCTAAATCTACCAAAACAAGCAACCGACTAGCCTTCTGGAAGAACTTGCTGGGTTATTTTTGATAGGTGTTTGTTTTCAATGACAAGTTTCTGAGGAAAACAGTAGCATTTTAAAATCTACATGTACAGCCAAGAAAGCTTGTGGACTTTTCCCTCCTTCTTTCCAGCAAATACTTTGCTGCCTCTTTTACAATGCCATTTCTAATGACGTAAAGTGAAGATAAGAATTGTTTGCCCACACTGCCTTGCTCAGTTTTCCATGTGTAGCTTCTGGCTGATTTGCCATGTGCCCCTGCTGAGGTCTCAATCCATTTTCAACTGAAAGCATCTGGGTTCTTGCTTGGCTTATCATGCCGACACAGCTGGCAACCTATTAATCTCCTGCTCCCGATGCCTTTACTTCAGTGGGAAAGCTCTGGTGCTTTTTAGTGGTTTGTATTTGCAGCTAACAGAGGCTGGTGCTCAAAGCCTCTAGGACACTTCTCCACAAAAACCCCTCTCCTGAACTACTGGAGCTGGAAGCGGTTCAGCATTTTTGTCCTTCTTGCTCTAACACTCTCTGTCAAAGATATGGAGATCCATAAAGCAGCTGGAGAAGCAGGTTCAAAGACAGGATTACCACATTATCTACCAATAATGCTTTACCCTCATTCACATCTTTAGTCTAAGGACTTCAAGACACCTACAAAGCACTTTCTCAAACACTGATAAATTGAGGCTCAGTTTTCACTCAATAGGTTTTTTTCCCTGTTGAGCTATGTTTTTAGGCACATGAATTCTGTCAGCTCCCTCCCCAGCTAAGAGAGGACACTAGTCTGTCAAGGTTATCCAGCAAAGGAGCCCTTGGAATCTCATTCTACTTAGAAAACTGTTTTAAAGTAGCCTGGTGAAAACATTGTTGTGTGATGGTAAACCATTGCCTTCTAGAGCCATGCTGGTGGTACTGTTCTGGCAACTCTTTCTTTCAAAATCCAGCTCAAATGCACTAGAATGGCAATTTCCTGAGCCCAGCCTTGTATGCTAGTGAAGGACTCCCAAGTAGAGACAGGATGCCTGAAAGGGAAAAAAATCTCTTATATTGTGGCTGGCTTCTGATTTATGCATAACTATTATGGCTGAAAAGTGCTGTCCTGAAAACCTGGGAATTGAAGGTTTTCATCCTGTCCCTGAAAAGACAAACATAATGCCTGTGCAACTGCTTTCCAGTATCCCAAACCAGCTCACAGTTCGCTACCAAAGAAGATTTCTGGTGGGGTGAAGCACAGCATGCTGAGAAGTGCCTGCTCCTCCCCAGCTGTGGCTGCCGGCACCACGGAGGTGGGATTGACTCGGCACTGAGCTGGCCCAGCTAAGCTGGGGATCAGGGAGGCACCCGGGAGCCCCCATGTACAACCACCTGAGCCAGGATGGTGCTGATTTGGATGGCAGCGTTTGCTCTGCACTAAGTGAATCATGGTCTTTGGTTTCCTGCCTTTGTGTTACCATGCAGCACAGAAAAAGCCATGGCTTTCCCTCTCTGCTAAGCTGCCCCGGAGCCAGCTGTGGATGCTTTCCTGAGATGCCTGCCCTCAAAGTCGGGCAGTTATCACAGAAGAACAGACTGTTCACTTTCAATAAAACTGACACTTGCACTGGCTTGTTCCAAGCCTTTTAATCCCCACCAAGGAGATCCTAGCAACTGCTTTCAGAAGAGATCTTTAAACGTGGAAAGGGAAAAGGCTTTTCAGCAGCGGCCATGGGGTTCTTCCAAGTTTGATACCAAGAGGAAGTGTCTGGCTCCAAAAGAGATAACACTAGGACCAATTGTTGTTTTTCAGCCTTAAAGAGTAACCAGCTAAAAATGCATGGGACAAACTGTCCGCAAAAGCAGATCAGCACAGATCTATTGGCTAGGCCAAGTTTCACTGGGGAGGCTAGATGCAGAAGCAAGCATGAGAGCATTGCTGGCAGAGCAGACAGGTCTCTCTGTTAACCTCACCTCCCAGCACTGTTAACAAAAGTGAAGTCTCCCACTAGGAAGCTGGGCTCATGAAACTTGGGCTCATGTAAGGGCGTGGATGGCCCAGTTTGCAGTGCCTCTGGGGACATCCCCCAGTGGTGGGGAAGTGGTAGATTTCTCCAGGGAGTACTAAGTACTGAATTCTGTTCAGCCTGGGTAGTGATTGTTTCAGCCCAATCTGGGCATATTTTACAAGCACCTTGAGAAATCGCTTCAGCATAACGAAGCTGTTCATTGTCCTGGTTCTCTGTTCCTGGAGGACACACGGACTGTCCGCCCTCTTGCATTCCCTTTTCTCTTGCAATATTTGCATTTGCATTTAAGACATGCAAAGCCTGTCTCCCTCCACCTACCTCACTGCTCACTGTCTCCCTCTGTGCCCCATCAGTCTGGGTTGTAACAGCCTCTTCCCAGTTCTCCAGCCTGGTCTGATCGCATTACCCTCTGTCACAACTCATTTGCAAACAGGGACCTTATTCTTAAATACATCCTTGCATCCCAAATGCAAAGAGATATCTTCACATTTAGGTTATCAATATTTAAAAGCGTCAGCAATTTTAGGCCTGGTCCAGACACAACTTCTGCATCTCCTGTTGTGCAGCTGGAGTTCCCCAGCACATCCCAGTCCTCTCTCTGCAGACTTAGGAAGTCAGATCCCTTATATCCGTCATGCCATAAGGATGTAGATTTTGGGGAAGAAACCCTAGGTCTGGCAGGCTGTTCTGGAACCTGACTCCCATTTGAAGCAGTCCTGAGGCCTAAAACTCTGGCAAGGTGAGGGGTTCAGGTATAGCATGTGGGTGGGGTACACAGAACGGGGTGATGAATTTTAGTGCACACAGATTGCTGGGGTTCATCTGCATTCAAAGAGACTCTGGGTGTTTAACCAGTATGAAAACAAAACAGATGCCTCGCATAACCTTGAAAAGAAAACTGATAAAGGTCTTTTAGCTTGTCTAAAAAAGAAAATGTCTCCTGTACAAAAAATACCTCCAAGATACAAACAACTTCAGGAATATAGACTACATCGCTGAAGATGTAGGAGTGTATATGGGAGATGGTGGACTGCAGTCTAGGCTTGGGCATGAAGGCCATAGAGATCTGCCTGTGGGGTCACATGAAGATGCCCATAAATGTAGGTCACCTCAGTTCCAGCATGGAGTAACGAGAGCGTTCATATCAGGGATAAGAGCAGGGCTGAAGCAGGAATCAGCAGAGGCAGCCGGCAGGGTTTCTTCCCAGGAGTGCTACAACTGTCAGGAAGGCTGTGGCAGAAAAATTACTCACTAGTCTGCTTTAACAGGGAGGGGGATGCATAGCAGAAATGAAAGGTTTTCCCAGCTGCTGGAAAGAGCCCCTAGAGAACAGAAGCATGGCAGACTAGGATTTTGACAGCTGTTTTGGGAGTCCACCTGAGGAACCGGTAGGATTATGGCAGCTAGGAAAACTAGTGAGGGAATTCACACATGGAGTGGTAAAGAGCACCTGTGCTGCAGAAACCATGTCAGTTTTGAGTGTTAGCTGCTCTGCTCCAGCTCCTCAGTGATGTGTGTCCAAACTGAGCTGTTGTTTCTCTTCTCAGCTCTCTCCTCTGTCACTCACCAGTCCCACCAGTGTGCAGCACATTGTCCAAGCATGTTTTCTTCTCCCGTTTAGTCCTTGGATTTCCTCCCTCTCTCCTGATTGTGTGTAAACTGGGACTCCTGTGGCAGAAATAGCATGGCAGGTTATAAATCCTAGTGAAAAGAAGAGCAATGAAATGCAATATACCACAGGGCAAGGGCAGTTCCTTCATTCAGGTGTTTGGCAAAACTGGTAACTTTGTTATTTTTCTTAGCAAGACATTTATCTGCCACCACCTAGATCTTACCCAGTGTGTCTCCAGCGGTGCCCAGGCGACCTGCTGGGGTCACTGCTTAGTCTCTGCTCAGAGCCAGCAGGGAGAGCCCTCGGAAGAGCTCCCACCTCTGGTGCACTCAGAGGGGTGTGGGGCAGCCCTAGGGCAGTGAGGGGCTTACAGGACAAGCTGGCAAATTGGTGACTGTCACACAAAATCAGGACATGCAGTGCTTTTCAGCACCTGACCTCAGATCAGCCAAAAAGGATTTTGAAAGCGAGATAAAGGACTCACCTCCCACTGTGGTTTCCCTGCAGAGGCGCCGCAGATAGAGGTTAGAGTTAATTTGTTTTCTGAATTAAATAGAAATTTGGGAGGCTTGAAGCAATTGTTCTTTGTTTTGGTTTTGTAGGGTTTTCCCCATGTTTATCTCAACAATTGGTTTTGCCTGTGAGTTTTTGGTAGCCTCTTCTCAATCAGAGCTTAGCTGGTAGGGTGGCAAGAATTTATTGTGTTAGTAATGTGTGCAACTTACTGATCCCTTTCCCCAGGTAGTGAAAACGTCCCTGAAATCAATACTTTGGGCATGAAAATGTTATTAAAAAAAGCCCTGGCAAAAATGTAATTTTTTAAAACTACAAATCAAATATATAATAAAAGTAGCAGTATCTTGTAGTTCTCTAGCCCTTTTCCCTCATATTTCTCAAAGAACAGTCTCAAAGGCACTTCTCTAGAGACAGAGCACTCCTTTATATAAATTGCCCTTTCTTTCCCAGGTTGCTGTCCTTTCCTTGCTCTCTCTCTCTCTCCCTCCCTCCCTCCCTCCCTTCCTCTCTCCTTCCCTTTTCTTCCCCTTTCTTTTCTCACCACCTTGCATGCCACTGACCTATTCCACCAAGTCACCAGGATCCTGCTTTTTGGAAAATGAAGGGGTGCATTAGAGATGTTTTTTTTTCCAGACCTCAGGGTTGCTCTTTTCAATAAAGAACAGGATCTTGGTGACAGCCGTACAGAGCAGCCATACCCTTCCCTGGAACAAGCAGCAGTGCATCATGTCATGCTCAGAGAGTGCTGCCTCACTCCCTCGCCTCTCTCTGTGTCAAGCTTTTCAAGTTTCTGCAAGAAAAGAAAAAAAAGAAAGCTTTCATTCTACAAGGCCAGTATCTAGTTCATAGTTTTTATATCACAGGGAAAAAGATAAGCCGGGGTATAACAATGACCTACTTCACATCCTGATAAAATAATTTCCTCTCTCTGTAATTTTTCTTGAAGAATAATATTTGACTAACACGAGCACGTAGGATAGAGGAAGAGCGTTTCTGGGAACTGGCTGATAATGTGTCAAATTCAGCCCTGAGACAGACAACTGCCACCCTGTTGACCCATGCAGAGTTAAGCCTGTTTATCCCCCAGATTAGAGCTCTGAAAACAATTGGGTTCAAACCTGTAAGATGTGTGCATGTGATAGGGTTGAGGCTGAAAGCTCAGAAGCAGGGGGTATCTGTTACAGCATCCCTCCATCAATGCACCCTCAGCCCACCGCCACCACGGCTGCCTGGGAGCTGCTCTGACTTGCTGCTGTGGTGCAAACGGGCCCCCCCTTTGCAAAACAACTGTTTAGCTCATCCTTTTACACAAAAGGCTACAGTACTGGGTAGGGTACATTACAGTATAGGGCAACCATGCAGCTCTGAATCCACTCACATCCCCCCTCCCCAAGCACAGAAACAATGCAGACTGTTATGGCTCACTTGCTGGAGCCTACTTAGCTCAATGCATTGGCTGTATTTGTCTGCTGAAAGTGTTTAAAAATGTACATGTGGCATTTTTTTGCTTGCAGCATTGCATGAAGGGCTTTCTCACATCATCTTTTGATGCTGTTCAAATGGATTGCCACCCAGTGCATATCGCCCGCCCTCTCATCTCCCACCTACAGGATTTTTCCTTGTGGTTTGCAACTTTTCTCTTAAGGAGTTCTCATACAGGACACGAATTTGCCATTTGCCACTGCAGATAAGAGGTGACATTGCTCGTACATCCTTGTGCCCTCAGTTGTGCCATATTCCAGCTTGGTGTCAGATTGCAGAATGCCTGCTCACCTTCTCTTCAGCAAAAATAGACAAAACAGACCAAGGGGGCAAAAATCCATCAGCTGCCATGACTTCAGCAAGACACACTGCCCAAGATGGCCAAAGCCAACTAGTGAACAGTATTTACTGTACTTACTGTCAACGTATTTACTGTGTGCTGACTTCCAGCTTCATATGCTATTCCACAGTACTAACAAAGTACATGATTTATGGGATGCTGCTGAGAGCAAAATGTAGTTAAAATGTAATTATGGTACTCCTTTTATTTCTTTCCTTGAATAGATGTGGTATGAATCTCGTCTGGTCTATTAACTTTTCTCCAGTTTCTTGTTCCCCGAGGTGGAAGGTTCCCCTGGATTTCTAGAGATTGAAAACTACCAGCTGCTGGGCTCTGACAGGAGAAGGGTAACAAGCATTTTGGCACAGAGATGGAGACCCCTTTTGACAGCTCTGCTCCTCAGGCACAACAGGCCTTTCTATCAAAGCTCATGTGTGCAGGAGACAACTTTCTTGGGTACTGCTCAGGGGAAACTACAGCCTTAAAAGCTGTACCTCTTCCCATTGTACGTGTCTTTTGTTAGCATTGCCTTCTCTTGTATAAAGATGCACCTATATATACACTTAGAACCATGCAGAATAAAAATGAGATACTGGGCTGCAAATGTGGTTCTGCCCTCTGCACAGAGCAGTAGGGAGGAAATGCACCAGAAGTAACAGCATCCAGCCTCCATGCTTGATGCAGTTCCCCAGAAATGACTGAAGATACTGTTCCTTGTCTTGTGCAGATCCTTGCTACCTTTGGAGTTTCACTGAAAAGTGATTTGTTTTCAATTCAGAAGAAGGGATACAAGTCTGTGCAATTTATCCATTTTCCTTTTGCCTCCTTTGAAGGAAAAGAAGGACCTGTAACAATTTATGGTACAGGGACTGGTACCTGATTTTGGTCAGGAATGTGACTGTCACCTGTACCACTCTTATACTAAGCTGTGCAGTTCACTGTTGAAACAACATCGCTGCTCAAGCTGTTACCACACTACAGGTAGCTCTGAGCTCCCTCACCATTTCAGCAGAGCAGCCAAGCAGAATCTTCTCATGCCTCTGAGAGGAACACCTGCTGGGCTTAAGGTGCCCAATCCTGAATTAAACACTGTAATTTTGCGGCCAGGTGGCTGTGGAGCACACTTGCCTTTAAGGCTCTGCTATGGAGGGAGGAGCCCCAAGAACAAGCATGGTAATAGGCTGCCCTGGTGGTAACCTTTCAAACAGCTGCAGCTGTTTGCAAAGTGAACCTGCATCTGCACACATAATGTTTTTCCCTTTTCCAACAAGAATAAGCCATATTAGCATTATCCTGGCACAACTGCATCCATACTCTGGGGAGTTAGCTGCAATAGTATTGTTAAAGCAATCCAGCTTTTCTAAGTAGACAAGCTATAATTACACTAAATTAAAATAGAATGCTTTTGTTCTAACCTCAGCATCCCCACGAGGACTTGCACCAAAATAACCAAAGGTACAAATTAAGCCATTTCTGTCATTTTAGTACATGCCTGAGCACAGGCAGGCTCCCACTCCAATCCTTCTACCTGTCACTCCTGGCAGAGCTCAGCTGCCTGGGTGATCTCCTCACAGGCTTCATCACAGAGGGATAAAAGTATGAAAGCACCCAATGGGGAAATGCTTCTTGGTTGTAGCTGGGTGCCCTGTGATGACTCTCTGGGGCTAATGTCATATGTGGTAGCACTATCTTTGTTAATTTAGGGGAGCATAATTCTGCAGGACTGTGGTGTCCCACGAGAGGATCAATGGCCCCTATGGGTCTTGAGCATGAGGGTCACACTGAGCCCCTGTGCTCTGCTGGCTGCTCCATCCTTGCCTCGCTGTGCTCCTTGCAGGAAATGGGTGCTGCCACCCTGGTGTGGGGCTGCAGGGCGATGATCCTTCCCCACACCTTCAACTGCATGCATAGAGCATCCAACCTGGGGTCTTCCCAGCTGCCTTCAGCCACGGAGGACCTTGGGTCTGGCCCTGCTTTGGAATGCCCAAAATATCTAAGTGCACAAGTGCCACAACCCTATGGAGAGCCACAGTGACACTTCCCGTGGAAGAAGCCAGGGCACTTAGGAAAACAAGATCAGCTGTACAGAGTGATTATTTGCATGAGGCATGAGCCTTTGCAGGGCCTTCAGTGGTCCGACCACACAGAGCTTCAGGTTTTACTGAAGGTGGAAAATGACATCCCCACAGGCCTGACACTTCCAGCTCCTCCAGTTACCCTGAGACAGACAGATGGGGCATGATGGCCACATGTAGCACGTGCTGCAGTACTAAACCATCTGCCTCACATGGGTTTCCATTTCAGTGAGGGAAATAGTAGGGCGCACTGGGAACTCAGATGCTGAAAATGGTAAACTGAAATCCTGACTCTGCCACAGACTTATCAGCACTAATTTGGGTAAGTTGTCTCAGATACCTGCACTCGATGCCTGCCAAGTGAGGTATCCCAGATACTCCAGGTGTCACGGTTCATGTTTGTACAGTGCTGCTAAGGTCCCCAGAAGAAATGTGTTAATAGCGTTCCCAATTTAGGGCAGAGGCAAGCCATTCACCAGCCTTTCATTTCCAGCGTTCGACTGCAAAACCTTCCATGGCCAACTTATTTCGACGGTGCTAAAAATGAAGTGCCCCCTTTCCCACGGCACATGGCCCAGTTTATCCTTCCCCAAGGCTGCCGGTGGGAGCTCACTGAGCAAACACACCGAGAGCACGCCACCGCAACTTGACGGCTCTCCTGCCCTGCTAAGTGCGATCCGCTCCGCCCCTCCGGGAGAAGGGCGCAGGCAGTTGGGGCCCAGTTGGGCCGGCGAAGCCCTTGTCCCTCGGCGAAGCCCTGCCAAGGCCGAAAGTCCCCCAGAGCTGCGCGGCCAGAACGGCCCCTTTCAGCCGCACGGCCGGCCGGGGGTGCGCGCGGGCCCCGACGGGGCGGGGCGGCCCCGCCCCCGCCGCCAAGCCAGCCAGTCGCGCCGAGCGGAGAGGTGAGCGGGCCAATGAGAGGCGCGGCCGCGCGGCGGCGACCCGCCCCCTCCGCGCTCCCGCGGCCGTCGGGGCGGGCGCAGTGGGGCGCTGCGGCGCCGCCTGGCGGCCGGTGCCGGTCGGTGCCGGGCCGAGCGGCGCCGGCCCCTCCCCGCAGCGCCGCGCTATGTCACGCGGCGGCGCGGGGCCGGCGGTCAGGACTCGGGAGCGCGGGGCGAGGCGGTAGCAGCGCCGCCGGGAGCCGCCGCCTGCACCGGGAGCCGCCGCTGCCGCTCGCGCCCGGGGAGAGCCAGCCGGCACCGGGGCTGGCTTCGCGGCGGTCGCGCCGCGCCTGCCGGCCCGCCGGGGACCCGCACCGCCCGTCCACCGCCGCGCCCCGCCGCCCCCCGGCCGGCGGCCCCGGGCAGCGCGCCGCCCCCGGGTCCGCGGGGCTCTGCGTGGCCGCGCGGATGCCACCGCAGCAGGAGGGCGAGGCGGGGTACATCAGCAAGCCGGTGCCGCCGGGCGGCTGTGAGGTGCCGCCCGTGCCCCCGCGGAGGGTGCGCAGCGGACGGGCGGCCGCGGCGCTGGGAGCGGCGCTGGGCGGCCGCTGCCGGGCGGCGGGGTCCGGGGCCGCGGCCGTGGCCGGAACCGGGACCGGAGCGGGGTCTGAACCGCGGCGGAGCATCAAGTGCGTGCTGGTGGGGGACGGCGCGGTGGGCAAGACCAGCCTGGTGGTGAGCTACACCACCAACGGGTACCCCACCGAGTACATCCCCACTGCCTTCGACAACTTCTCCGGTAAGTGACCGGGGGCACCGCGGGGACCGAGGCGGCGGGAGGGGCAGCAGGGAGCGCGTCCCTGTCGTGCCTGTCCCAGGGCCGTGGCTTGGCTACTTGGAGGGGCTGATGTCCAGCTTCGGTGATTTCTTTATTTATTTGTGGTGAGCAGGACCCTACCCGGGCAGGACCGGAGCTTGTCAGGCTGCCATCGCAGGCAGCAGCACCAGCCAGTCGCCGGTGTAACGGAGCCGGGCTGGCAGCGTCTGTCGTGCCTGGCGGTGCGACCAGAGCCGAGCTTTAATTGGGAACTCTCCGCTGTAAAGCTTAGCGCTCTCGGGCGTATCGGAACCGCCTAAAGGTCAGGTTAAATACCTTCTCTAGCCCGTGCGAAGGGAGAGGTTCTGGGGTTTCTCTGTGGTTCAGCGGGGGCTTTTTCTGTCCCGGGCGTGCTGAAGGTGTACGACGGGGAGAATAAACTAAACCCTCGTGGCAGAATAAGATTCTGGACTGGCGGGCTAGCTCTTGGCGCTGCTGGCGGAGAGCTGGTGCCGTCACCGCCTACATCATCTCTTGTAGTGAAATGAATCGGAAAGCCCTGAAGGGCCTGTGTGTGCCCAAGTGTTAGCGACAAGTCGACTCCCTTCCAGCTCTGCTAAATCGTTGAATCTAAACTAACTGAAGAAAGATAAGAACTGATTTTTTAATTTTTCCGTAATGGAAAACGTGTAAACTTGGACTCATCTCAGTTTTACCCTCCCTCCTTTCTCTCCAAAGCTGTTGTGTCTGTCGATGGGAAGCCAGTGAGACTTCAGCTCTGTGACACAGCTGGTCAGGTCAGTGGA